AACGGCATGATCACGATGACCGCGGCCGATCTTCTCACGTTTTGTCAACAGATGATGACCGCGCGGGAGAACGCCCGTACGAGTGATACTACCCCTGCGTATACCCTAAAACAGGAGATACGTGAATATCATAAGGAGGTGCAAGCTTCGATGGATACGAAGACCGTGACGACGTTCGATGGAACCAACTACCAAGCATGGAGGATTGGCATCCTGGCGGACGCGGAGGTTATTGGCGCCACTGATATCCTTATGAAAAACCAACATGAACCGCCTGAAGAATACGACACCAACCGGGTTGGATAAAGAGCGTTGGACAGTACGTACAAAGGCCTTATACCGTCGAATGTTGCAGTCCCTACTGGGACCTGTACGTACAACGATTGGAGTATTAGAACCGGATAACGCGGCTGCCCTATGGCAGAAGATCAGCCAGGAATACGCTGTCTCATTGGCAGAGGAACGTATGAACGTCATGAAGGAGCTCTCAAACCTTGCTGTCAAGGATAACGACTATCTTGCCTACCAAAGGAGATTTCGCTACCTGGTTGCACGGCATAAGGAGTTAGCCACACAAGATGACGATTTTTATCACGATCTTTTCCTTATTGGCCTACGTGATCATCAGAAGGCGTTTGTAAAGACCCGTCTTGATGACTTCTACGCAACTGGCCAAGATCCAATCGTGAACATGGATATTGACGATTTGATGAAGCAGTTAACCAATCGTACAAGCAAGACAAAAGAGTCCGATCGTCCGAAGACCTCTAAAGCGAACGCTGCCACCACGAATGGCGATAACAAGCAGTCCAATAAGTCGACTACTCCTCGAAATGCGATGTTTGTGACCGCGTAGGACATACAAATAAGACCTGCTGGCGCCAGCACCCGGAGTTAGCGACCGATCGATGGAGGGAAGCGAATAAGGATAAGATCGTCGAGAATACCGATGAGAATAGTGGCGGACGGAAACCGAAGAATAATAAGGGGAAAGGTAGATATAAGGATGACAAAAACAACGAGAAGACGCCAGATCTCCTTGCCTCTCAACCTAGTGCCAGCGCCGCGATCGCACTATCCGCGTCGTCCGAGATATCATCCAAACCATGGTATTTGGATACCTGCGCCAGCTTCAATATGAGCGGCGAGAAGCATTCGATGATACGTACGGTGTCTTTTGAAGGTAATCTCAAAGTTAATACGGCCGACGGAGGACAGGGACAGGTTAAGGAAGTTGGGGATATCCTCCTAGAATCGGATGGGGGGGATATCATGGTAAGAGACGTCCATTGGATCCCAAATCTAACCGTCAACCTGTTGTCGTTCGCGAAGCTAGAAGACCAGGGTTTCCGATTTGAATTATCCCCATCTACCCCGTCTTATTTCATTATTCGAGCGCCAAACGGTGTCATATTTACCGCGATCCGAACGCCCCAAAGCTCCATATACAAGATCGTCGAACGAGAATCGGAAGTTGACGTCCACCATGCGTCCAAAGCGGTCAACTTCGCCGCCCAATCCTACGTATACGGAGACGCGATGGTGACGGTCGATGAATCTGGCGATAAACCGAATAAGATATTGAAAACCCTCGCGGAATGGCATGTTGACCTGGGTCATATTCATGTTGGGGCGATAATCGCTTTGGCAAAGAATCCACTATCAGGCGTACGAATCAAAGGCCCCAAATCAGGACTATTCTGCGACGCCTGCGTCAAAGCCGGAATGACACGAAAATACTCGCAGACCCCGATGCCACGGGCGCTACGAGCGATGGAACGCGTGCATATCGATATCGCAGGCGGAGGCAAGACGCTCGACGACATGAACGATCACCCCGTTGAATCCCGCCAGGGGACGAAATATTACATGCTAATCACCGATGATGCCACCCGTTATAGGTGGATCTACTTTTTGCATGCGAAGGACCAAGCTGTCGATTTTTACGGCCACTGGGTCCAATTCATGAAAAACCTCGGTTTCACCCCGCCTGCGTACGTGAGAACGGATATTGACGGCGTATTCCGTTCCAATAAGATGTCTACGATTATGACCAGTCAGGGGACGATTTGGGAGCCTACGACCCCCCATTCCCCCCACCAAGACGGCGTATCGGAGCGCGGCATTCGTACGATCATGGCGCGTGCCAGGGCAGTCCTTATGGGAAAGGATATCCCTAAGAAGTTCTGGGCGGATATTTTGGAAACGGTAGTGTCGATCACGAACAACACGCCTACTTCCACCGTCTTGTATAATTCGAAATTTTGGCCTACGGATACTACGGATGAATCGCAGCTCGTACGCTGTCCTCATACGATCCCGTTCTCTGCGCTCCTAAACGTCCCGCCAGAGGTTTTGCACTTCCGCGAGCTCGGATCGGACGTTTACGCTCACCTCCACGGATCGCAAAAACCCGCGGATAAGCTGTCTGCCAGGGCGGAATCGTATAAGCTTATTGGTTTTCGCGGTAAATCGATTTTTCGTTTGTGGAATCCCGCGACGGACAAGCTCCTGATCACCAGCGATGTGATTTTCCCCTCAAAAGAGCGTACGAATGAAACAAACGTTGAAGGACTAGCGTCCAATCCTACGACCTACTTGGTTGAGGATGGCGAAGTTCCCGAAATCGAAGACGCCGAATGGATAAGACCTGCGAAATCGTTCACTACGTACGTCCCTTCTCCTATCACAGGTTCATTGCCAAAGACGTACAAGGATGCCGTGAATCGACCAGGCGTAGGAGAATATTGGAAGAAATCAATGCAACGTGAGATCGCAGATCTCGAACGACGGAAAACCTGGACCCTAATCCCGAGATCAGACGTCCCCGCAGACGAACCAGTGGCACCAGGCCGTTGGATCTTCGTCGAAAAAGATCGCCCGAACCAACCTAACGCCGATCCGGACGGGATATTACGAAAATCTCGCTGGGTAGCGTGCGGTAATTGGTTGAAAAAGGGATCTCGCGAAGAGACGTACGCCCCCGTGGTTAATGACACTACGAATCGTATGATGTTCGCGATCTCAGCGAAAAAAGGATGGACACTACGTCAAGTCGATATTGTGATGGCGTATCTTCATGGCCGACTGGGACGAACGATCTATATGAGACAGCCCACCGGATTTGAAGCAGGAGCTCCACGGACATTGGTTTGTGCTGTGGAAGGATCTCTATATGGATTGGATCCGGCAGCGAAGATTTGGTACGATTACTTGACGGCATTGTTGCGTGAGAACGGATTTGCCCCGTCCCCCTACGACCCCGCCCTATGGCGGCATACGACCCGTAGGCACCTCTATATGACGATCTACGTTGACGATCTTCACATAATGGCGGAAGAGCCTGCGGACGCCGATTGGTTAGTAGAAACGTTAGCGAGCAAGTTAGAGATCAAAGATCTCAAAGAGCCGTCGAAATATTTGGGTATGGAGGTTGAACGTCGCCAGGATGGCGGAATCAAATTGACGCTGAAACGGTATATCGATCGTTTAGTGCAAGATTTCCACCTGGAGGACGCTGTCACCGTTCGTACGCCAATGGAAGAAGGACTTCGAATCGACGACTCCCCTGTCTCCGAAAAAGAAGCTGGTTTTACAAAACAGCGTTATCAACACGGCGTTGGCTGCTTACAATATCTCGCGGTCAAATTACGTCCGGATATCGCCCGTGCGGCATCCCTCCTAGCGCAGAAAAACGCCGTTCCCACCCCCAAGGCGTGGAAAGCTCTACTCCACGTCGTACGCTATTTGAAAGGAACGAGCGATCTAGGCATCTCATACGAGGGGCCCGACGATCGTGAGCGCGTTCAATTCCCAAATGCTACGTTTACACCCATTGGATATACGGATTCCGATTGGGCAGGACCCCTGAATGGCGATCGGAAATCTACGTCAGGTTTCGTCTTCTTGCTAGCGGGTGCCCCGATTTCATGGCGATCTTCTAAGCAACCTTGCGTATCTTTGAGCTCTAACGAAGCCGAATACGTAGCGCTTAGTGAAGCCGTACGCGAGGCTACGTGGATTCGCAATATGATGTTGGATATGGGATTTATTACGAAGGACCCCCTGCAGATTAGGGCGGATAATAAGGGTTCGATCGATCTCGCCACCGTGGCAGCGATTACCGCGCGCAGCAAGCATATCGACACTAGATTCCACTATTCCCGTACGCAATTGAATGAGGGGGTGATTTCGATTGACCACGTTCCTACGGAGGATATGGCGGCAGACGGGCTTACAAAACCCCTAGGCACAGTGGCATTTAAACGTTTTATCAGTTTGCTAGGTCTTTCACAAGGAAAATAGTTCATTCTAGCAAAATCTTGTATGTAGCGTGTTTCGGTTGACATCTAGGATAGGATAGCTAGATTTGAATACGTGGAGGACATAATATCCCGCACGTTTGGTGCGTGGGGGGGTGTTGGGCGTGTGTTGCCCGGGCGGCCGCCCCGCCGCACGTGATATAGCGTATATTAGATAGCTAGCTAGGCCTCCCAATATGAGAGATTCAACCATCCCACAATAAGGAGTGAAGTACAACTTAGCCCCAGAGTAGGTTGACTCAGTCCACAGTTTATTTTACAACTAGTCCCTAATAGTTAATAGTTAATTAAAAATCTATTCTTCAATCTCCATTCAATATTTTGTATTATGTAATCATTTGTTGCTTTTACTGTTGCTACACGCTTTGACATGAAGCGATAAACCGCCGATACGCATGTAATTCTAGTGCGCGTATATCTTTACGGATATATAGATGCATCTCCCGAGAGAGAGACATGGGTGGTTTTATATATATATATATATATATTTGTATGTATGTATATACGGTATATAGACCGGGAGAAACGTACAAATTGGGGATATCAAACTTTATGTAAGAGACATATGAAAATGAGAATCAAAACTCTATCCAGGAGATACAAGGAAAAATTGAAAGGCGACAAAAAGGGCAAAAGTAAGGGGACAGAGGCAGATAAGGATAATGGTATAAACGCGACCTAGGTAGTGTAGCGGAACCTGGGATTCCGATCACCCATCTCCGCGATCTCTTCCTCTGTCATTCCCTCAATTGTATGATCCATCTTGCCCGCCGCCCGCTCCTTATTGATTTGCCTATAATGAAACCACATGAACGTATAGATAAGTGCTGAAAATCCTGTAAGCGCTAGCGTGACGCCATGACCGGTCAGATAGCGCGGACCGTCCCTGCTTTGGTATAAGAACGGCGTCATGATGCCACTGACATTTCCTAGGGTGAGCTGGAGGCCGGTCGCAAAAGTTCTTTTGCCAAACCGTGGCAGGTTCGTCGGCAGCCATGCGAGCGGCAGGCCGACGCAGACATACAAACCAACGGCGACAAGGAAACAACCGAAGTAATGTACGCCAGCTCCATTGTCAGACATCAAAACCCCATAGCCAACAATGGCAATGCAACAGAATACAACCGTAAAGACCGCGCGTCGCTGCATCCGATCGCTGAACCAGGCAACGACGAGGTAAGTGATCGCGCCCACGGCATAGCAAGGGATAGTGAGTGCCTGAACTTGGGGGACGCTCCAAGTGCCGATACCCTTAATGATGGTGGGGAGGAAAGTGCTGTAACCATATAGCATGGTGTCAACGCCAAACTGACTAAGGCACATGAGCCAGATGGTCCAGTCCTTTGCGCCCTCTTTCGCATCTTTGACATGAAATTGTTGCGCCGAATCAGTCTGGCCGATTTCCAGACTGCGACGGGCCCTCATTAGTTCTTTTTCCTCCGCATTGAGGTAGTATGCGGTGTCAGGATCATCAGCGAGACAAAACCAAGTCGCCACACCAAGGAGCACGGAAGGAATACCCTCGATGATCAAGATCCAGCGCCACCCCTTCAGGCCGGAAATCCCATCCATGAAACCAATACCGTAGGCGAGAAGTCCACCACATGCTCCGGCAAGCGCAGCAGCGCTAAATAGATAGCCGATCCGCAGGGCTATCTCACGTTTCCCGTAGAACAGGGTCATGTACGCAACCAAGCCTGGAAACAGACCTGCCTCCACGCATCCAAGAAGAAAGCGACAAACTACCAAGCCGGCGAAGTTTTGAACAATGCCTGTCAATGTAGCAATGATTCCCCATGACGTGGAGATGAAGGAGAGGTAGCGCGAGGCTGTGAATTTTCGGAGAACAAGATTGGATGGGACTTCCAACAGCTAATCAATGAATAGTTAGTGGTCTAAGCCAGCAATGGAAAGGTAATGCGAAACTTGAAATATTTAGGGTTAATTGATAGGGATTTTGTTTTCAAGCTCATCTCCAAAGAATACAGCTTCAAGCAAGGAAGCTTACACAGTAGGGAATGAACAGAATCGATACTGCGATCTGGAACTGATTGCCAGTAAGGCCCAGGTCCGACTCCATGCTGTAGAGTCGTGCATTACCGATATTCACTGCATACAATCTTCCATCAGAACAGTCGCACGTATATATCAGCCTTATCACCTTCCGGTGGCTTGTGTTTGCTCTCTCAAGGGAGGGAAAACCAACCTCGATCCAAAAAGCTGAAAAGGTAGAGAAGAACGATGAAAGGGATAATGAACCTATCAACTTTCTTGACCAAGGCTTTAACTTTGATGGGAGCAACTTCACCCGGCACTGCATCGCCAGTTCTATTTTGCTTCATCTTTAACGACAGCGCTGGACTGGACAGGGGATTTTCGGAAACCCCTTTCTCGTCCGCTATGGAGGCCATTTCTGCGGATCCTGATAATACCCCGAGTACTAGAGCTTAGGGAGTCTGTAGAGGAAAACAAGGGAGTAGCCAACTAGCGAAATGCGGGTGCAGCAAACAGCCGAGACGATTCAAGAAGTGCGGGTGTGAGGAACCAGAGGGGGCAAGATAAGCTGGGAGTTAAGCTGAAGATAAACGGTAAGGATGAGAAGCGGAGCTCTCAGGAGCAGGCTAGGGTAAACCTTTTTAGACTGACAAGTAGAATAATACGAGGGCAAAGGGTGGAGGTGGTTGAGCAGCCAGGGCAAACCTGAAAGATGATAAGTTAAGACAAAGATGGAGAAAAGATCAACCAAGAAAGCCAACATGCGCCAACTGTTATCATCATTTGTATTAAACTGCCGAGAGAACTTTAACAGAACTCGTTTTCATATGCACAATGCTAACCTATTCAGAGGTGGCAACTTTTCTCCGACTAATACCTCTTTGGGATCCTGTGGAGGAACGCAGGCAAAAATAGTTACCGGCGTCGACAAAATTATCTGCAATATTAGTATTGGAGAAGGCATGGAATCCCTCCAACCAGTCTCCTGGCCCTTAAGTCCAGGTAGACTAAGGTTGAAGTCTGGCATTATATGTCGGAAACAACTTTTTTCCAGCCATTTCGCGCTCTTTGTTGAAGATATGAAGGATTGATTGTCTGGCGTCCGCATTTGCAGGAGTGGGGCGTTAGCTAAGCAAAACAAGTGAGCCCTAACTAAAATAGTTTTAAGTCCTTGGGAGTGAGTTATTTAGTTATTCTATATGCATGAACTTCCATTTGAAGAACTTACTAACCCAAAAATTGGTGATTCTCTACTCCCTCTTTGTATGTTTGCAATGGATCACAAGGTTTGGCAAAGTGCAAGGAATCATCAGACTGGAAGTCAACTTGAATAGTTAGTTCAGTGGCTAATGCTAAGACACCAGCATCTACTCTATAGAACAACTTCAGTCTGAACTTTGAATCTAATAAACTGAAAATAGCTTCATATCTATCATGTTGATTCTAAGGAACAAACGTTAACAATTAAAAAAATAACTAGTTAACTAATCAATTAGACATAAATGAAAGCTTTAAAAGAAAACACTTATTGAATGAATCATCAAAAATGAAAAGACTTTAATTAAATTTTTAATATCTGAAAAGTCTATCTACATTTAATAATATTAAATTAAATTAAATTAAATTATGCTAAAATTAACTAGAACATTTGATTTTTGTATTTTTAAAAATATTATATATTTATTAAATTTTGATAAAGCTTATAAAATGATAAAGTTCTTAATACAAAGAGTATAGAAACTTAAATAACTAATTATTTAATATATAATTATAATAAAATAAAATAATAAAACTTTAAATTTATTTTTTAATTAATTTTTATATTGTTATTTTTATTTTTATTAATATTTAATATATTTTAATATTATTTTTTTATAATTATATTAACTTTTTATATCTATAAACTTTTAATTTAATTAATTTAATTATAAAATTTAATTATTTATTTTTATGAAATTAATAAAATTATTAAATAAATAATTTAAATATTATAAAAAATATTATTAATATATAAATTTAATATAATAAATATATATTTAATATTAATTAATAATATAATAATATATAGTAATAATATATTAAAATACTTAAAATTATATAAAAGTAAAAAATTATAAATTTAAAATATTATATAATATATAATTAAAATATATATTTAAAATTATTTTTTAATTACAAAGAAAGAAAAATTTATAATATATATATAAAATTTAAACTAAATTTTATATTTATTAAATAAATATAATTTAAATTTTTAATAAAATTTTTAAACTTTTTAAATATATTTTATTATTATTATTATTATTATTATTATTATTTAGTTTATAGTAATTAATATTATAAATTAATAATAATTAATAATAATAACTATATTCTTCAACTATTAATATACTATACTTATAAAAATATTTTAATTAATTTTATATAAATAGAAATATTATTAATAGTAATCAACTTAGTTTTTAATCAATTGAGTAAAATAGAATAATTTTATTTTTATAAATAATATATAAATCATCTTCATAATATTAGTATAATATAAATTTATTTATTTATTTAAATTTTTATAAAATTATAAAAAACTACTTATTTATTTTGATAATTATG